TGACGATAGACCTAAAGGATGCTTATTTTCACATCCAGGTTGTACAGCGACACAGGCAGTTCCTCAGGTTCGCCGTTGGAGAACGGGCGTTCCAGTACAGGGTCCTTCCCTTCGGCCTATCTCTGGCCCCGAGGACATTCACAAAGTGCATGGATGCAGCTCTGGCCCCATTGCGGCTCCAGGGCATCCGTGTTCTAAATTACCTGGACGATTGGCTTATTTTAGCCCAGTCCAGGAAGCTAGTGGCCCACCACAGAGACATCGTTCTGAGTCATATCCAGTCTCTCGGTTTGAGGTTGAACTCGGAGAAGAGTGTTCTTGCTCCGGCTCAAAGCACCGTTTTCTTGGGGGTGAACATGGATTCCGTTCTCATGCAGGCCCGCTTGGCCCCTGCACGGATTTCCAGCTTGATGACATGCTTGGCTCGTTTTTTGCTAGGCCATCATGTGTCTGTGGGCACCTGCCGCAGGATGCTGGGCCTTATGGCTGCGGCCTCCTCCGTGCTACCGCTGGGCCTACTCCACATGAGACCCTTCATGTGGTGGGTGAAACTCTCAGGGGTTCGACCCTCCGGGTCAACCCTTCGCCTACTGAAGGTATTGCGCAGTTGCTTTCGAGCCCTGTCAGTTTGGCGGGACCCTCTTTTTCTTCGGAAAGGGGTCAGCATGGGTGCGGTATCTCGTCGCTAGATGATTACGACAGATGCCTCTCTCACCGGCTGGGGAGCGGTTTTCGAGGGCAGACCAGCGTGTGGGGTCTGGACCGGAGAGGCTCTCTCTTGGCACATAAACTGCCTGGAGTTAAGAGCCGTTTTTCTGGCTCTGCATCATTTCCTCCCTCTTCTGGAGGGTCACCATGTCATTGTCAGAACAGACAACATGGCAGTGGTGTCTCATGTGAACCGGCAGGGAGGTTCTCGCTCGGGCACCCTAGACAGGCATGCGCGTCACCTTCTCCTGTGGTCTCAGAGCAGATTCCTATCTCTAAGAGCGGTTCATGTCCCAGGGGTTCTGAACCTCGCAGCAGATTTTCTGTCGAGACAGAAACTCAGATCGGGGGAATGGATGTTGAACCGCCAGACGATGGCCCTGATCTGGGAGGTTTTTGGAGAGGCGGAGGTGGACCTCTTTGCATCTCAAGAGTCGTCCCAATGCCCGCTTTGGTTCTCCCTGAGTCCCCCGGCCCCATTGGGGATAGATGCGTTCGCTCACCCTTGGCCAACGCAGAAACTCTATGCCTTCCCGCCCATCAAACTGATCCAGGCGGTCTTGGCCAGAGTGAGAGAGAGCGGAGTCCGCCTCCTCCAGGTAGCTCCGTTCTGGCCATCTCAGCCATGGTTTTCGGAGCTAATTCCTCTACTGGAATCTTCCCCCTGGAGGATCCCGGTCAGGGAAGATCTGCTGTCCCAGCTACAGGGCAGGATATGGCATCCTCGCCCAGACATGTGGAAGCTGTATGTTTGGCCGATCAGAGGCCGTCGGTATTAAGCTCTGGTCTCCCAACTGACGTTCAGGAGACCATTGCAAGTGCTAGAGCCCCTTCTACAAGGAGATTATATTCTTCCAAATGGAGGGTGTTTGAGACTTGGTGCTTAGCACATGATAGGAGCCCAGTTAACTGCCCTGCTGGTTCAGTACTGGAATTCCTGCAGGAGAAGTTTGCTGCTGGAGCAGCCGCTACCACTCTCAGAGTTTATGTCGCGGCTATTGCAGCGCATAGGGAATCGGATGAGATTCCCCTGGGCAAATTAAGGTTAGTTTCTGCCTTCCTGCGTGGGGTGAAGCGCCTGAAACCGGCTCGCTCCCCTAGAGTTCCCTCATGGGATCTTTCTGTTGTCCTAGAGGGTTTGACGAAAGCCCCCTTTGAGCCCTTGGAGTCAGCTCCGGAGAGGATTCTGACTCTCAAGGTTTCTCTTTTGTTAGCTTTGTCCTCATTAAAGTGGGTGGGAGACTTACAAGCTCTTTCTGTTAGCGAGTCTTGCTTGGACTTTGCCCCTGGCCTGGTCAAAGTTTCCTTGAGGCCGAGACCAGGGTATGTCCCCAAGGTTCTTTCCTCAACTTTCCGCTCACAGGTAGTTAACCTTAATGCTTTCCACCCTCCTCCATTTTCGTCTGAGGAAGATAGGAAGCTTAACTTGCTCTGCCCAGTTCGTTCTTTTAAGATATATGTAGACCGCTCAGGCGGTTGGAGGAAATCTAACCAGCTTCTGGTTTGCTTCGGTGCTAGCCGCCGTGGGCTTGCTGCATCAAAGCAGAGGATTTCTCACTGGGTCACAGGGGCTATCTCGTTGGCTTACGGGGTACGTGGCTTGCCTTCACCTCTTAGAATTAAAGCACATTCCACCAGAAGTGTAGCATCTTCTCAAGCTCTTTTCAGAGGAGCACTTTTGGAGGATATTTGTGTTGCGGCAGGCTGGTCCTCTCCGCACACTTTTGTAAGGTTCTATAGCTTGGATCTTGACATGACCCTGGGTTCCCAGGTTCTTTCTGTTTGAACTCATTTCGGTCGTTGTCTCTTTTATCTACCAGTTATAAAAGCGCTCTAGCTTGGCGAGTTTGGTAGTCCGTTCCCACTGCGCTTTCCGCAGCGTTGAGTGAACCTATGAAAGAGAACGTCTCTGGTTACTTGCGTAACCTATGTTCTCTGAATAGGGAACGAGACGCTGCGTTAGCGGCCAAGCTCCTCGCGCTGCTGACAGTTTCTTTTCGGCAGAGAAATCTGAGGAGCAGATGGCGCGCACGCGAATATGTAATGATGCGACGTAAGAGCGTCGGGGCGGAGCCATATTGCGCGGACGCCATCAGCCAATGAACTGGCGTGATTCTATAAGGCTTCAGACAATCGGCACATTCAGAGAATATCCCACTGCGCTTTCCGCAGCATCTCGTTCCCTATTCAGAGAACATAGGTTACGCAAGTAACCAGAGACGATTTCATCATCGTGCAGAACACTATAAATAATAAATTTTCTGTCGGATTTTTTTTATCTGAAGCCAAATCAGATCACAGACGATTATTTAAAAGACTCGACTTGCGTTATAAAGTAAGTTTGGTTAACAAACATGGTTTTAATCTCATAAATGGTTGTGTATTGATGGTGTGCTAAGCTAACATGCTAGCTAGCCCAGGTGCACCTGCTAACAGCAGTTATTGTTTTATGATTTTTTTCTAAATAGGAATGCTAACTGAAATGTTTCAGTGCATTTGATGCAAGTTTCAAATATTTAGTGAGAACTTTGATAAAAGAAATTAGGGTTTGAAACCCTATGAATAGCCTGTGAATAGCCAGTCGTTAGTAGCTATAATGCAGACAAAAGAAATGCATATTTAGAGCCATAACCAGTCTGGAGAGGTGTAAATGTGTGCAGGGGAGACTGAGACTGAATGAGGCTCGTTTGGACCACAAAACAATAGAGACATTAGACTGAATAGATGACTCTAAAATGCAAACTGATGTTTAGTCATCTTCTGAGTCTAATCAAAATAAAGTAATTTGACATGATCTTGAAAAACATTTAACTAAATACAGAGTTTTAGACTTGTCATTTTCAGATTTTAAATATAAAATGGTCACACATATGGCTTTAGCTGCAGTGCATTTCTAAATTGCTCCAGGGCCAACTTCAATTTTATTTTCATGATGTTTCATAAAAATACATTTCTAATAACTTTACAAAACTTTGAAGCTATTTAAAAAAAAAAATCATTATGACAATAATTAATTCTACATTTACAATAAACTACCAGGTGTCAGCTTTCAAATGAGATCATACTTGTGCTTTTAGTGCAAAGGGTCCATGAACTGTATCTGTTTCAGTTTGGGAATGCCATTTCTGGGGATTTTTCAAAAGTGGGCTTGCAGCTTAACAGGTTAAACAAAAATAGACAAACTGCATCACAAGGAAGGAAGAAAGGAAGGAAAAAAATAGCAAGGTAAATATCACAGTACAAAAGAAACTTGAATGTTTCCCGTGCAACAGCTAGTTGCACTAGGTTGTAAGATCCACAGAAATGTTCAAGTTCTTGAGACAGTTAAAACATTTATGTAATATCACTTCTACCATTACTATTGCTCGTAGTTGGGGTTAGTGATATAAACAAAACCCTTACCCTAAGTTTTACATTTTGGCATGTGACTTGTCCTTGTGCTATAAACGTGGCTTGTTGAGAAGAGCCTTTTTTTCCCCCTGAAGTGATCAGGTTTACAATTTTTGCTTGGTGGATGATAAAACGGGTCCAAACATTACACTGTAGGAGGGAGTCATATTTATTCATATAACATGTATATATATATATATATATACATTTTGAATATATATATATATATATATATATATAAATATATATTGAGGGTGACATTATATATATTTCGAGTGAGTGTAGGCTCCTTCGAACCTGTAAAGAAACCACCGACCAGGACAGCAGCATCATGGCATCATGGCAGTGAATTTTGTTCATACGAGCAAGCACTATTTAAATAATTGACGTTTACATATGTTACTATTGAGTTTATAAGTTCTACTGTCTGTAGAACCAGAAAAGTGTGCAGAATTTTTTTTTTTGTTAAACTCAGGTAAACAAGAACCCGCAAAAGAGTTTCATTCCCTCCTTCGGTTTCATATTTTCTGTTTTAGTGTGTTACTAATTCAGATAGTGTAGATCACAATCTTTATGTTATGTAACGATAAATCACTTGAAGAACCCCAGAGGCCATCTTAATGTAGAAGTTAAGATGCATCAGTTTATATTTGGACATCTGTTTTAACAGCACTTTAAAGTGGTTGGGGTGTGTGAGTGTGTAAAACCACATGCTAACACTATTGCTCAGCTTTCCTGACTACCTGTGCAATGCCGAGTATTTTTTTTCTACTGGCCGTTTATTGGCATATGATTTTTTTGCGTAATATTTTCCCCCCTTTTTTGACCCATTAAAACACTATGAAGTTTATATTGTAGTGCTGCACCACTGTTTTCAAATAAAAAAGACAAGATGTGTTGTGATGTAATTTCCTCTAGACTGTAGACAAAACATGATGGGAGCCAATCGGGTCATTGCTATTGCAGTCAATATGAAACTAGTCCTGCAATCTGCAAAGCCCCTATACCCCAGTTTACCTCTACAGAGGAAGTGTCACAAACCAATACCCTGAGAAAAAAAAATATATAACAGATCATGTTATTTTGACCGATCTCATATGATACGATCTTATCTCTCATCTCAACTTCCCTTCTTTGCTCGGAAGGTCAGAGGGCAACACCAATTATCACATTTGTGAGTATTCCTGGCAGCACATTTTTTATTTGACCTTTTTAAAATAATATGCACAAACATATGCTGCATGTTCATTTATTGAATATGCCTAGAGAGCCTTATCCCCCACTTTCATTGCAAACACCTGTTGTATCAGTTTGAAATGGAAGTAAGGGTTATGGTTTCACACTTTTTTTATGGTTGGTAAACCAGCTTTTGGAAACATTCAGTGTCACAGAATAAGCCCGAATGTCACAGGTGGTTTGCACTACAGATCGATGCTCATAATGCTCATAGGTATGTGAAATTTTCTGTTACGATAATAAATAATTCATACTTTATTCATTAAAGTGGTTGGATTCTTTTTTTTTTAAAATAAAATTGCTCTGCACAAACTGGCATGTTTTTATGTAGAATGTAAAATACTAATACAAATTTTAAATATATATATATATATATATATAAAATACAAAAACTATTAAATACAAATTAGAAAATATCATTATTTAATTAAACAACAAATTAGTCTATATAATCCATTATTATTAATACTATGTGGTTCAATGTTCAATATGCTTTGTATATATTTGTCTGAAGAGGTGGACTTGCCCCTGCCACTTGTCTCCTTTAGTTGCTCACTGGGGGTTTTATGGCATATTGTTTGTAAAAATGCTTGAACACACACACACACACACACACACACACATATATATATATATATATATATATATATATATATATATATATATATATAAACACTGTAAAATAAAATATTACCGTGTATTGTATATTTAAGTGCAATAAATATTTAAGTGCTGTACAAATAAATTTAATTTAATATATTGTGCCCTTCATGTTATTCTTTTGATGATTATGAACATAATTAGTAGTACACTAATACTACTGTTAACAGTGAAGTGTAAAGTTGTATTACTAACATTTCGTTTTTTCATGGCATTTATTAAACTAGGATAATATTAATTTATGTACTATTTATACCATTTATACCACTATTTATAACATTGCTAAAAAGAAATGGACCAGTGCAAAAATGTATCATTGTTATTTCATGTTAGCTTTATTATACAACCAATTTTACCATATAGACGCTCATTAAGTGTTACCCGGTAAAGTACTTTACTACTTATTTATATTTAATTCTACTGTGACATAAGGCCATATATCATCATCCAAGATTGTCCAAAATAATAACAAAAAAAAATCATGTAAACAATGTAAATATGTAAATTTCGTCTACTAAAGCTAGTGCAGCACAACACTGTTTGCTAATTTTGTTGTACTAATGCCTTAAAGATGATCTATTTGCAGAATTACTATGCTAACTTCTGTTTCCCTGTTTGTCTAATACAGTAAGAACGCCTCCGGTTCTCTGATTATGAATTATACAGCTGCCTTACTGAGGTAAGACCAAACTTCATCGGTAAAGCTTTCTTTTACAGTCCTGTTACCCATGTACTTACTATGTACTTATTATAGTAATTACAATTACTGTGGAATATCTAGGCACTAACCCTGAACCTACCCCTAACCCATGTACTTAGTTTACTAGTACTTAGTACCAAGTTATTCAGTTTTTAAACCAATAGATCTCTTTATGAAAAGCTGAATTCGTACAGTGTCAATTGTACGAAACATGCGATTGTTAGAAAAAAGTAGGTCCACCCCTAACAGACCCGTCACTGAAGCTCGTACAAAAATGTATACAGTAAATGAGATTTTATGAATTCAAACTAATTAGCCACCAATTCACCAACATGTAAAATAGTTATGAATTGCCATTGTATTGGGGCAGCACAGGACGGAAGCGGCTGAGAGCAAATGCGTCATATATACCTGATGAGTGTTGTCCAAGTCAAATCACATTTGCACTTTATACAAATCAAATTGTTTCAAAGATTCCCAGTAATAATAAAAAAAAACGACAACAGTATTTATGTTGCAAAATTCTACAGTTATGAAATGGATACAATTTCAGCTGTAAAGCCGCTCTAAAAAAACAAAAGTGTCATTATTCAGCTCAGTTTAGTTCACATTTAGTTAAGTAATAGTGTGAATGAAATTAAATACAATTTGGATGCTTTTTTTGTTCAGTGTTGATTCAGTTGATGATAGTACAGTACAGTATGTTCATTGAAGATCCATTTGCACTGAATACGTTTCTTTGCCTCTTCTCTTTGTCATGAACAGGACCCCCGCACAGCCTCCATGGACAGGAATGGTAACCAACAGCACCATTGATCTAAATGATCAAGCATCGTCCAGGTGAGGTCATATCACATTTATTAGACACAATTCAAGGAGGATCATTGGTTTTTTTATGCATCCTTTCCTGAGATGATGTTCCTCAAAACCACAAAAAATAATAATCAACATAATAATCATACATATCTAACCAATGATCAAACTTCTAATCATACTTCAAGGATAAATGGTATCTTTAAAATATGTTTGATTAAAATATGTTTTTATTCATGGTTTTAATTCTCCCACTTATTGTGATTGGATTTTGTTACTTACTGATTCTGAAGAGACTCCTGACAGTTCGCTCTTCCAGGAGGCAGGCCATGCGTCTAGTCATTGTGGTGATGGTGGGTCTTCTTCTGCTGTTGGGCTCCATACAATATTGCAGCTTTTGTGAAAGCTTTAGAGCTAAAATAATGGATACCTAATTCCTTAAAGCTCTGTTGTTGTTGCTCTGCTGTGGTTTCTTCTCCTCGTCTCTCTATCAGGTTCCTGCAGTCCTCCAGTTTGACGGAGCACGTCTGCAAACGTCTCATGTTATGACTATAACCCTTGTTCCCTGAGAAGGGAACGAGACACTGCGTCGTTGAAAAACGACTCTTTGGGGACGCTCCCTTAGCGTTCGCCTCTGAAGTATGAATGAAACTATTCCAATCCTGATTGGTGTTGCGTCATGACGTAACATGTGACGGCATAACCGGATGCATAAAAGTGACGCCGGAACAAACGCACACTAGCCTAGCGATGAAGCAAGCCGCTCTCAGGCCTTGAGGGGGATGGGAGGACGACGCAGTGTCTCGTTCCCTTCTCAGGGAACAAGGGTTATAGTCATAACCCGAGACGTTCCCTTTCGAGGGAACTCGCACTGCGTTGTTGAAAAACGACTCTTTGGGGAACGAATGCCCACTAGGCCACGCACCGAAAAAAAGGCCTGCCCTATAGTGAATCTCAGGCACTCAGCTAGGACGAGAGCACACGTGCGCCAGGCATACTAGGGAGGTGCAGACTATAAAACCTGATAAACATGTGCGGGGTAGCCCAACCGGCTGCCTCACAGATCTCCTGGAGGGGCACTCCCGAGAGGAGGGCCCTAGAGGACGCCATGCCTCTAGTAGAATGAGCCCTTATGGCCAAAGGTGAAGGCAAACTGCGCACCTTGTAGGCCAAGGCAATAGCCTGAACAATCCAATTACTAATGGTTTGTTTGGATGCAGGGAGCCCCTTCTTAGGTGACCCAAAACACACTAACAGTTGGTCCGACCTCCTCCATGAAGAGGACTTCTCGAGGTAAATGCTCAATGCTCTGACAGGGCAGAGCAAATGGAGCCTCTCTTCTTCTGCCGACACATGAGGTGGAGGATGAAATGCCTGCAGGACCGTAGACCATGCCGTGTTAGAAGGCACCTTAGGCACATAGCCAGGTCTCGGATGCAGAATGGCCTTAACTCCGCCAGGGGCAAACTCCAAGCAGGCTGGCGTTACTGCCAGGGCTTGAAGATCTCCCACCCTCTTTAAAGAGGTAATAGCTAAAAGAAAAGCCATCTTGAATGTCAGGTCCTTAGGCGAAGCCGACTGAAGGGGTTCGAAGGGGGGCAGGGATAACCCTTTGAGAACCACCGCCAGGTCCCAGGCAGGAACCCTGGACCTGGTCGTCGGTCTCATCCTCCATGTACGACGGAGAAAACGAATGACCAGCTGGTGCCTCCCCAGAGCCCCATCACTCAATGGTGCATGGAAAGCCGCAATGGCAGCCACGTACACCTTAAGCGTGGAAGGGGAGAGACCCGCAGAGAAACGATCTTGAAGAAACTCCAGAACTGAAGCCACCGGGCAGTTAACTGGATCTAACTCATGTTCTCTACACCAAGTGGAAAATACATTCCACGTGAGGCCATATAATCTCCTCGTAGACGGAGCCCTAGAGCTAAGTATGGTTTCAACCACCCCGGCTGACAGACCAGCATTTAGGTACTGAACCCTCACAGAGGCCAGACCCACAATTTCCACAGCTCCGGGTGAGGGTGGAAAATTGTGCCCTCCGCCTGAGACAACAGATCCCTCCTCAGAGGAATCTGCCATGGCGGAGCTATCAGGAGTGAAATTATGTCTGAAAACCATACTCGGGCTGGCCACATCGGGGCAACCAGAAGTAGACTGATGCCCTCTTGCCGGACCCTCTCCAGGACTCCCGGGAGCAGAGCGATCAGCGTACAGGCGAAGCCTCGGCCAGGCGAGAGGGAGAACCAAAGTGGACAGTGGGACGTCTCTCGAGACGCGAATAGATCCACTTCCGATGGTCCAAACCTCTCCCATATCAACTTCACCACCTCTGGATGAATTCTCCATTCCCCAGGCCTCAGCCCCTGCCTCGACAGGATGTCTGCTCCCTGTTTCTGAACCCCCGGAACATACATTGCTCTGATAGACAGTATTTTCCCTTGGGACCAAAGAATAGTCTGATGCGCCAATCTGCACAGAGGGCGCGATCTGAGTCCCCCTTGTCGGTTCAGATAGGCTACCACTGATGTATTGTCCAGGCTGATGTATTGTCCAAACGTACTAGGACATGGTAACCTCTGATGTCTGGAAGGAAGCTCCTCAGAGCCCTGAACACAGCCAACATCTCTAGGCAATTTATGTGCCAAGAGTGATGATGGTCCTGCCACAGACCCCTGGAAAAGCGGCCGTCCATGACCGCGCCCCAGCCAGTGAGGGAGGCGTCTGTCGAAACGGTTTTCCGGCGACATGACGCTCCCAACACTGGCCCTTGGGACAGGAACCAAGGTTTCTTCCATATTAGTAGAGAACGAAGGCATCTGCGCGTTACTCTGATCATACGAAACGGATTCCCCTTGGGGGAAAACCGCTTGGCTTTCAGCCACCACTGGAGGGGCCTCATGTGAAGAAGGCCCAAAGGTATAATGTTGGATGCCGCTGCCATGAGGCCCAGCAGTCTTTGAAATTGCTTTACAGTGATGGCCTGGCCTAGCTTTAAACCTCTGGGGTCTAAGGTGTTTTTGGGGTCCTTGAGATGTTTTGATATACTCTGACATTTGTGCTTTTTTCAGTTGCTTGTAAACAAATTACTGGCAAAGGTGTAATTACACTCTATTTAGCACAAACAGGGCTACCATAGTATGTGAGCAACATGTATGTACATGTTTGTATTTTTGAGAGAATATTGTTTATGCGTGGTTATTGAAAAAACTAAAACTTAAAGTTTCTGAAATAAGGCCACAAAACACATAGTAAATATGTGTCCACAAGACTTTTGACTAATGTATGTTGTCGCCTAGAGTTTTTTCTTCAAAATGATCTGAAAATCATCCTGCCTAATCATTCACATAAAACAATAGATTGGTTTAAATTTAAAAATGACACTTTTTGTTTGGAAAGGCAATATGCGCAGGGGTGTGACCTGCTGTGATTCACACCTGAGAAGACAATGGGCCCACATAATGAGCGCATAATGGGGCTGCATACTAATGACCATTTCATTCAGGTGTGTCACTGAGCCACAAAAATGCAATGACAATATATATATATATATATATATATATATATATATATATATATATATATAGGCCTATATAATACAAAATTGGTTCACAGTTACAATTATTTATTTATTTTCCAAATTGTGCTTGTAAATTGTATAATATCAAATGTAAACATTTCTAGTAATTGTGCAGTTAATTCTCATACTGTATTTACAGAAAGTTTGGGAATATATCCCAAATGTGTCACTAATAAAACACAATACAAATAATTTAAAGAGGAGGCTTATATTGAGCTTTTAAAATTTACCTAAGATTTATTTATGTGTACATATATTTTTGCTATTTTAATAAAAAGGTTACAATTACAACAACAATTAAAATGTTAACTATATTTCAAATGTAATCTTTCTTTGGATAAACGAAAGTATACATTTTATCATACATATTTCACAGTTGCGGATTAATTAGTTTGAATATAGCCTACAATCGAACTGTCACGATGTGGGTTTGTGTCCTGTCATGTTCTTTGGTTCTGTTACGATCTTTAAAAGGCCTAGGGAATGGCGTACCATTAACATATTAATATGCTGCTAGATGTGAAGTAGACTGGAAGAACATGTCAGACAAACTTTGAAAGAGAGAAATTACTGGATTTTATTCACAGAAAAGCCGAAGCCACTAGTTCCAGTAAAATGACATGGATGCGCTATGTACAATGCAATGAAAAAAAGATTGGGAGACAAACAAAAAGTGGCGCCAAAGGAAAGAACATAATATAACAAAAACAATCCTTAAGCTAACCCTAACCCTACTCAAAACAAAATGTGAAAAAGAAACCGCAATCTTCACGCACTCGGCGCTGACTAACCTAACTAAATAACAAAAGTACAAGGGTTGGCGCTCACCACTAACCTAGTGTATATAACAGAGACAGACCTACGGGCAGTGTATACCGCGGCATACTGACCTATCGTTCGTCCTCCCAGATTATCGTAATGCCTCTATGATATAGAATAAACACACACCAATACATCGCACATCACTCAGTTCGCTACACAGAGCTCAACACACCACAGGAGAGAGTGAATGAACGCCCCACAGGAGAGAGAGAGAGTGAATGAACGCGCCACAGGAGAGAGGGAGAGTGAATGAACGCGCCACTCTCTTAAAACCAGCTGAACGGCCTTTGATTGGTTCTGGAACGTCGCCTCAATGATGACTAACGTCCGGCTCAGCCAATCACAGCAATCCTGCGAGCAGAGATAGTGAACTAGGGACGAAAGAGAAACACAATGAACATAATGGCCAACACGTGAAACAGATCAGTGAAAACAAAACACGTGGAACGTAACAGGTTCCCTGTCTTGTTCATTAGTTTTCCCAGGTGTTTCTGATTTTCCCACGCCCCCTTGTTATCCTGTTAGCTCGTTTCTACTTGATTATTTAAGCTCTGTGTTTCTGCCCTGTCTTTGTGAGTTGTTAGCCTATATGTTTCAGGATTAACGTGAGTGTTGGTTTCCC